GGGGGGGTTAAAAAAAGTGCAAGAAACAATTTTTTTTTAAAAGCTGTGTCACGTGCAGTTGTTGAACCCTGAAATAATCAGAAGAGTAGGTCACTTCATCCAGCCAGTTCGTGCACGTGCCAAGCAGTGAAAAGTAAAACATTCCATGCGCGTGTGGTCTTGAGTAGTAACTTGTAAAAAGAAATAACGTTGCGATGGCCAACGCGTTCTGTGCGGATCCCTGGTGCCGTGGTCGAGTCGGATATTTCCCCTCATGCTGAGACGGTGACATGCTTGTGTTGGGCACACACTGAGAGGGTAGGTAAAACAACACTCGACAGCCATGACGCAGGCATGACCGGAGACTGCTGCTGTCCCCATAAATACCGGGCGTCCCATGCAGTGAGGAGAAAATAGCCTGTTCGGGCATGCCGTGCATGAGAAGAAAAGGCTGCTTGTGAACTTGAGAAAAGCCGTGTAATTAAAAAAAAAAATGCTCCGAGCCAATCAAAAATGCCAAGAATCGAAAGATTAGCCAATAAAACATGCCGTGTGTGGTTAATAACCTACCAAACCAGAAAAGCTACGAGAAGAAACTTTTCAAGCCAATCAGAAAGGCTGTGAGGAGAAACTTTTCTAGCCAATCAGAACGGGTGCGAATTCAAAAAAAAGATAGAAAATACCCTCGCCAACGATACATGGCTCATGACCGGAGAGGGGGAGTCTCATGCATGGTGTAGTGGCAGGCTGAGTGGCACGGTGGGCTGTGGGTCAACAAGGCCATGCTGAGAGGGCGGTAAGACTCACCGAGTTTGGCATCGTGCGGCAGGGTGGCGCAGGAACGAGGCCGGGACATTTTCTGCTCGCGGTTCACGACGTACACGTGCTCCGAGGTCAGAGGCTTGCTCTTCTTGGTCCTCAGTTTGACCGCAGCCGTGGCGGACTCGGGCGCCCCGACACAGTGGGACGACACGGAGCCGGTCATCCCGCCGCGAGCGGCCGGAGGGTGGCCTTGGGAGAAGCTCGAGGCGTGGTGTTGCTTCTCTTGGTCGGTGTTAAGGTTGATGGAGCTCTTGGCGCGCCCGAAGAGCTTCTCCCGAAGGATGCGCGTGACGGTGGAGCCGGAGACCGCCGCTGCCTGGGCGGAGTTGGAGAGCTGTTGCTGCTCCTGCTGGTCCTGGTCCAGCTGTGGCTGACTGCTGCTGTGCTGCTGGGGCGGGGGCAGGTGCTGCAGCTGGTGCTGGTGTTGGTTGTGCGGGGGGAAGTGATGCGGGTAGTAAAAACCGTAGAAGTCTGAGCTGGAGATACCGTCGTGGGACGCTGAGGTCGGGATTCTGAGCTGGTGGCCGTTGGTGGCGTGGGTACGTGTGTCGACCGCGGGCTGGGGTTCGCCTCCCCTTGTCGCTGACACGCCCGGTGCCGTCTGAGAATGTGAAAGCTGCTGCTGGGCCTGTGGGTAGGTCCCGTGAGAGGTCACAGAGTAGTCGGGTATATAACTCGTCCTGTCGCCGGACACCGCCGAGTCACCTCTTGGGCGTCCACGGTACTCCACATTCGCCGCCATCTGATGAAGTTGTTGGTGATACTGCTGCTGCTGTTGATGCTGCTGATGCTGCTGCTGATGGTGATGATGCTGAGAAGGTATGCCGCCGTGGGTGTGGTGCAGCCCGTGAGAAGATGACGATGACGAGGGCGGTTGGTAGCGGTGCTGATAGCAGTGCTGGACCGTGTCCAGCGCGTGGCTGTAGTCGGTGTCCGGACACAGGGAGGTGGAGTAGCGTCCTGGCGGGTGGTGCCGCTCGCGGAAGCTGAGAGAGCCCGGCCTGTGACGGCTCAGCTTCGCCCCGACGGCCGCGTCGCCCGCGTCCACAGACAGATTTCTGAGGTGGCCCGCCAGGTTCCTGTCCGACTTGGACGACTTCATACGCTGGTGCGAGTGGTGATTGTCGGACTTGCCGAGGAAACATGGTGAGTCTTTGTCGCCGTTGGCGGCGGAGGAGGCGGCATTGGAGCCCGAACCGTGCTTGGTCCAGGGTTTGAGGTTCCTCAACCAGGACAGCGTCTTGTTGTAGAGGTTGTCCTTGACCTTGTAGCCGGGCAGCGCGTCGCGGGAGCTGTGGCGTCCTAGGCTGGCCGTGCGTTGGTGTCGGATCGGGGAGTCGCAGCACGTCTCCCCTGGACACACGGGCTGCAGGTGGATGTGCCGGGGCGGGTCGCGCGCCATGAGTGGCTCCATGCGGATTTCGCCCTGAAGGTTACTCATGGCCGACGCGCATTCTACAGACATAAGAACGCGCGAGTGGGGAACACACAAACAATTTCAACACGAGCGGAGTGAAGCAAATAGCTGCGGTTCCGCTCAAAAAAATACTCCCCTCAGAAAGAGAGGAAACTGATATGGTACATACAAGTGAAAAGGAAACAAGGCGTATATCCAATCTTTTCACGTTGTTGGAAAACTTTCGGTGCGTTTGGCCAAGGATTCCGGTTTAGTCTATCCGGAATCAGACAATAATCTTAAAAGACATAAAGCGCTTTTCTCACAAATCCTGTGTTTGGTAAAAACAAGTATCCACTAGGACAAGCGTGTCGATGTGCCGAAGAGTCCAAATACTTGGTTCATGAAGAAGGTAAGGTCGAAGCACCCAGTCAATTAAACCTTCTGTAGCAGATTCCAGTAAAACAGTATCCTCCGAAACATAGAATTAATTGTCGTAAAAAGCCTATCCACATTCACGTTCGTATGTGTGAGAAGTCTGTATTCCACGAAGCTAAAGTCCGGCTACAAAAATAATTCGGGAAAGTCCAAGATAGAAAAACAACAAAAGTCAACAAACAGGTCCCACCCCGACAAATTAATCACTTGTGGGAGAAGGGGGAGATAGACACACAACACTCCAGAGGAGTGCAGTCAAAGTAGGGTGTGCTCAACACAGCACAGCAAGGGACAACTGAGAGACAAGAGCTGGCTGCCCCACGCGTTGTCATTCACTGACATCTATCTACACAGAGACAGACAAACATACACTTGAGGCAGAGCCGTGAGGCCGGCTTGTTGTCAGAGGTCGGATATGGTCCCTCTCGTGTGAGCTAAGAGAGTGAGTCAAGCGCTTCCTGTTTGTATCCAGTGGAGCTGTTTTTCTTTTTGTGTCCACTATAACACAGCGGCTCACAGAGAAAAAGCTAAGCTGTTCAGGTGCCCTGTTGTGAAGCAACCAAATTCGTAATAATTCATGGACATAAAGATAAATAAATGTTGACAAGCTCACACAAAGTAATGGACATAAAGCTTTACACATAGACATAAAACTAAAACTATAGAAGTAAAAATAATAAAACAGTATTTTCATTCATCTAAAAGAAAAGACAGAAGAGACGGGGGAGAGAGACGAGGACGGTAAGTCACAGTAAGTGTGTGAGTCAACGTGTATGTATGTCTAGTCTGTGTGTGCACACAAGTATGTATGAATGTGTGTGCTCGCAACACGTGCGAGGTTGTGCTCATGAGGGTGAGTCTGTGTATGTGTGCGCGTGTGTGTTACGTGTGTGTTACGTGTGGGTATGTGTGTGTTACTTGAGTGTGTGGTGTGAGTGTGTGTTTGTGTGCAACACCAAAAGAGAGAGAGAGAGAGAGAGAGAGAGAGAGAGAGAGAGAGAGAGAGAGAGAGAGAATGCAGGGGAGAGAAAGTAAGAGAGAAAGAGAGAGAAACA